AGACCACTTTATCGTAACACAATAATATTACATCTCTTTGTAGGTGTCCAATCTACTCTTTTATTTGATGGCATTGCTTCTTGACTAAATATTAAATTTTTTTTACAAAAATTCTTCTTGTAATTGCAGTGTATAAGAAACAGGTCCTCCTTCTACAGAACAAAGCAAAATAATGAATTCTTTCAAGTGTAAACATGATGTCAGCTTCTACTGGCAGTTACTAACATTTAATTGGTTCTTAGTACAAGAACAGTGATTGGCCAGGAAAGCTAGACATTACAAAACACTTCATAACTGTGTTTTTTTTATTTATATTAAAGTACATATAACTTTTTTGTATTGCAAATAATTGAATTTTGTGTTCTTTTTTGTATTGCAAATAATTGAATTTTGTGTTTTGTATTTAATTCAGTAATAAATTCTCCTTAAAATGATATATACAAGTTTGCATTTTGCGAATCGTAAAATTTTCTATAAACATACAAAGTTCAAAAACACAAAAGTGTCCAAAAGTGTCCACAATTTTGGCCGCCACTGTATTTGAAAGCGGTCAAAGTGAATAATTTCATTCAAATATGATACCCGAAATTTGTACTATAGTTCATATAAGGAATTAAAAAATTGTTTGAATGTTTCATTAAAAGTAAACCTCCCAACCGATATAGTGGTTTGCGTCACTGACTGCCGTACCGAAGGCCCCGGCTTAGAATGCCAGAGAAGATTTCGATGTTTGTAAATGTATAGTGTCGGTGCGGCATGGCGGCATTCTAAATATGCGTCGAGCCGAAAGTTCTCTTGTGTGGTTTGGTGGAAGGGGAGATAGGTGAGAGACCTTCGGACCTGCCCCTCGGGGTGCTCTCCATCAAAATTGAGCTAAATCGCACTTTCACCTGTAAGGTGCTCAAGGGTGTTGCCAACGGCAGTCGTATTCTATCGCTCCTTGCCACAAGGAATTTCGCGGCCTTGGGCTGACTACGTCAGACAAGTGAGCATAAACTACAAGCAACAACATAAAAAGTGATGAAGTCTTACATATTTTCCTAAAAAATCTCTTTACATTGTAATGACAAAGTACGTTTATAAATAGCAACAGTTATATGAATTACACGTCTGATATTTATTCCAAATATTGCAATCTACGTACGACTGTTGTACTTCGTACGACTGACACCAATTATTTGACAACTTTGATTTGCGATGCACTAATATCTCCAACGTGGTATTAAATTAACTCATTTTAAAATCTGTTTTACTCAGAAATAAATTTAGTGCTACTTAATATTCTTTAGTCTCGGCGTAAACTTCAGAGTAACAAAATTTTTCGTTGGAAAGATATTTAATAAAAACTTTGTTTTAGAGAAATTTGAAGTTCCATGGAACTGGAAATCATGATGGTTGAATGGTTAAAATTGTTGAATAGTTGTAGTTCAAACGGGCTGGATGCATAGTTATTTATGTGGTTCTTCCTATTTGTAATATAAATACGAAGTTTCATTTAGAAAGCCTTCCACGAAGGCATCCCTGACCTTAAGTGGATAGCCTCATTTACTTAACCGTATTCAAATAATCTAACCTCTCTTGCTTAGATTGATTTGAAATATAGAAATTTTATGAACAGATATAAGCAAAGCATTAAATTAATATATGACGTTAAAAATTGCAATGAATATTACGTATCGTAGTGTTACAGGTATCAGAGATATATATTTTAATATTTACTTGCTCAGAAATAGAACTTAAAACATTTGCGTAATTTTTCCTCTATGATAAACATAAACATGCATGCATATCACTTCAAATTTAAATAACCCATGCAATGATTTAAAAAATAAATCATTATTTAGACGTACGACTATTAAAATTATTATTATACGTATTAAAATTATTATACGTATTAAAAATAAAACATTATTATGACTTAATTATTAATTCATTACGCAGTAAAAGAAGTTCTGGTCTAGGATATTGTATTTTTAAATAATGCAAGCAAAACAAAATAAGTATTAGTAAAAAGTTATGAATATAGTAACTACTTTGCCTAAGTTTATTGATTTGATCACCAATGCATAGAATAAAGTATACATTTCTGTTGAACGTTGACTGCATTTTTGATCAATGGAACATGCTTTAAAATATTAAAAAAGAAACAAAATAAATGTTTTGATAATTTTGAAAAATATATGACCTTATATTTTAATAAGTTACTCACTTTCCATCCCCGTATTTCCGAACCGTTTATTACCCTTGTCAAAATTTATTCAGATAAAGAAATAGAATTCCTACAGGTAGATGCAGTAGTTGTCTGCTGTTTTGCTGCGCAAAGGAAATGCGCTCTTTTAAAGCGTAAATCTTTAACTAAATTATTTCTTCCTCTTAATCAAGTGCATAAAACTAGTTTTTTTTTCTTGTAGATAAAAAAGAAATTCAAAGTTTTGCCATTTTTAATAAACATAATTTCTTTGCGAAAGAAATTTTTACGGATGGACGCCTCGTTAACCGTTTTTTTCCTTCATTAGAATAAGCACAGATGAGAAAACTGGATAAATATTACTTTTTATAGCGATTTCTAAAATTTGTGCTGTTAATGAAAAGCTCAGATTTTTCAGGATGTTGAGATATAAATACATTGATTTAGATGTATTAAAAAAAGTTGCATAATTTTTTGTCATGAATGATCAGTTTATTGTTTTTCATTTTATTTAAACTGTGTTTAATAAAGCTTATGAAATTTCTTAGTTTTAAGTTTTCATAAAAGAAATATGTCACTATAGAATCTTCCATATTAAAGATGAGTTATATTTAAAGTAATAAATGCACTAATAATTTAAAGTCAAAACTAATTCCAAAATTCATGAAGGGATCTTCATATAGCATATTAAAATTTTACAGTGCCATAAAATGCAGAAATTAAATTTTCATTTAAAATTCTTATACATGTTATGATCTTTATCTGGACTGTAACTTAATGAATTAAAAGGTTTTTTTCTGTATCTTAAACGAACTTTTATAAAAGAAGTATTAGCACATTGGTAATATTTAGGGTATCTTACTAATTGCTTTGACTTTATGCATGCTGCTGCTTTGATTTTATGCGTCATTGTTTCATTACATTTTTCTATGTTTGTCATCTAAGAATGTTTCTCTTTGCTACATAAATGTTTTTGAAACTGCAACCACAATTAAAATTAATTTCTACATTTAAATTGTAAGGTTATTATTTTAAACTAGCCAGATATTTATGATTTCAACCTTTAAGATAACTTGTCTTTACCGGTTTCTCACGATTCAAATCACTTAAATCGCATTTAAACTGAGGTTTTTGGATTGTAAGACAAAGTGTTTTTCTGCTTTTCGTGAACGTGTCGCGAAACCAGCTCTGATAAGTTTGTCATTATTCGGCTTTGCGTTATTGCTGCACACATTTGAATTCGATACCCAGGTTGTAATTACTTTCAGATAAGCGATAATTTGCTTTACGTCCTTAGGGTTCTACACTGTTTAACTTTTATTAAATCAAATAAAGGCTATAAAATCTGCATTTTCTTGCTTAAACTGAAGCTATATATCTGTACATAAGAACTCACGTATACAAAAAAAAAAAAAAAAAAAAAAAGATTTTCTTCTTCCGAATGGACTGTATTTTTGTTTCTATATTGTGACGTAGTACTAAAAGTATCTGTTGTAATTTTTTTTATGAATGAATCAGTTTAATTTTAACCAATACACCTTTCACATCCTCTCATTAGACACAGAGAGTGTTTGTAAAAGATGAGTACTGGCTCTATTTTCTCAAATATTGGATCTATATCTGAATTTTTGCTTGCAAAATTGCTTAAAATTAGGCAGAGTACTTATGTAAACAGTTTCTCTTCTGGACATAGAAGGGTTTTGTAAGATAAAATCTAACGTTTCACACATTTCTCCAATATAAGAAGTTAATTTATAGAATGCTTAGATGTTTTAACAAACTTAATAGAAAATGTTCCAGACTTCTAAACCTAGCATCAGAGGAGATATTCAAGAGCGATATTACTGACTTAGGTCACTTTTCTTTGCATACTGCCAAGAGATTTTACATGGATTGTTACTAGACTTTGAGAGCATCTGCAAATAAAAAATCAAAAGATGCTTATTTTAGCAATAAATCATTATACATCGGGTAAAACTTTACTTTGATTCGCGTCATGTGAAACTTTAAGATCATATTTTAATTCAAGTACATAATATATTTGAAACAGTCAATCGTACATTATCATATTTAGGAAGGTACTGTAAAAACATGTAGCTAGTTTATGCTCTTTGTGATTAAATTTAAGCTTATCCTCATGAAATTGAGCATAATTTTGTAGTAATTAATAAAATACACACTGTTAAAGAAATGCAGGATCTTTACCCAATAACAAATTTAAATGAATTTGCGAAACTAAATTCTATAACTACAATTATATTTTGCGTATAAATTGCTATCTAATATTATGACTTTCTGTGTTAACTGATCGTTTTAACCCTTTAACTGTCAAGTTATTTTGATGATTTGGGTACACAAATTGTCAAATTTTTTTATTGGAAAAACCAAATGTAGCCGAAATAAACATATACCCGATATATATTCGGGTATGACAATACGATGCACTCAAAAAAAAAAAAAAAAAAATTACCCCGAGAAATACTCGGGCGTGACATTTTCGAACACCAGTGCAATCTCGGGCATGACAGTTAAAAGGTTAATACCAAAAGAAGCCAATTATAGGCATCTACCACAAGCATCAGGTTATAAACTCAGGCTTATTTCATTAAAGTATATTTAAATCTTTCCAAAGTTATCACCTACGGCATTCAAGTATAGAATATAAACAGTTTATTGAAAATTTAAATTATAAATATGTTATGTGCGAAATTGTAATGGAATTAAGTTCTTTTATATTAAACTTTTGTATTTCTGTGTAACTAAATTTAAAGGAAAAACGAAACATAACGAATTTTCTTTGACTCTTTCTCAGATTTGTCTAACAATATGTGGATACGAGGACCAAAAGAAGCTCCCCGAGGTGGTACAGTTACTTTGAGCTGCGAAACAGATGTCAGCAATCCCAGATCCGACCTCTCATGGACAATTGATGGCAAAGCCATTGAGGCAGGGGAGGAGAGCGTTCGTGCCACAACAGATGGCTGGATTACCACCTCCAACCTCACCATCACTCTGACCAGGCAGGTAAATTCATCAGTTCACGCTTCCCACATAAAACAATTAGCTCCCTTGGAGACCACGTTGCTATGATATGCGAACATTTATGCTTAATAAAAGATGCACGGAATATCCATTTGCACCCTTTCTGGTAATGAATTACAACACGATTAGGTGCGTGAAACGAGATGATATTCCTAATGTGATAATCAGTTCACTGCAAAAAGATGCTTCAGTCATATGTAAAGGTGCTTAAAGTTCCATAAAGCTATTAAAATGTTATAAAATTCGAACAAATGCGCATAATAGAATATGTTTTGCACAAGATGTATCGCAAGGAAAGAGAAAGTAACAGGAAAGGGAGATTGCATTAAGTACTTAGTTCATGGTAATTATCATAATCAGATTACCTTTAAAATTATTATAAAACTTCTGACGATGACAGATATTTTTATAATATTCAACGTGATATTTGCTTGTGATAAAAATAATTTTTAATCCTATTCTCACAGTCGGTATTTATACTGACAGTGATTACTGTCGGTATTTATATACCGACAATACAACCCGTTTGAGTGCACAAAAACTTAGCGTCCGGTCTCAGCTAACACGCTTTTCTTGCAATTAAATCTTATTCAGAAAGAGCCTAAGTTATATGCATTTGTTCAACTTTTATAAAACTTTACAATTTTATGTATTTCGGTATTTGAATTAAATGTATTGAGATTAAAAAAACGTTGTTGTTATCTTATTCACTAATGTTTGGGTAAATGGTTGATGTATTTTATTAACTGATACTTAGAGGTTAATATAAGTTTTTATTTAAGCTGATGAATTTAATAACGTAATGTAAGATTAACTGAAGAAGGAAGATAAAATAATTACCTTGTTTAAAAATTAATATGCCCGTCTTCGTAATTTAAGAATTTAAAATTTCTTAGTAATTGGAATGAATAGCTTCTCGTGACTGATAGTGATTATATATGAGTCAGTAAACTATTTGTTTTTTTTTAAATCAGTAAATAATTAATGTTCTATATTTTTTTTCCAGCGAAAATAAATACAGACCGTATTTATATAACTAAAGCGATTAATGGATAACTAAATAATTTGAAACAAAAGAAAGTACTCCCATTCAGAGCGCAGATTGAAGTAGATATAAATGCGAAAATTTTAATATCGTAAAACGGTTTTATTTATCATTTTGAATAAAACCTTTTGCTACAACTTTGATTCTGTTTACAGATATAGTAATTTTAGATAAATAAATGGTAGTTAAGTAAATGTAATTTTAGGAGGAAGAAAATTTGTAAAATAACTTAATAAAAATTAAAATATCTCTTTTTAATATTGTAACTTCTATACTTAAATTTTAAGGCAATCGGTAGCAATTTGTAAAATATTAAAATAAGTAGCAATACACTGATATATCGATATAAAAAGTAGATACGGCGCTTAATTGCTAAACATTTATTTAAAATTTCATAAATATTAAAAGCCCTCGAGTATGAAAGTTTGTTATCATGTTCTTTATAGCTAAAATGATGTATAAACTAATAAATTATAAATCTTTGAAAATAAGTAGGATGTTTTAACTATTATTGGAATGAACTCTGAAGTCCCCCAAAATACAGGATGAAGTAGGAGGGGAACTAGAAATTCACCATTGGTTTAACGTGTAATCCCACTCGTAGAGGTACGAGTATAATACAAAAATAAAATGATTTCGTTTCTGCTTTCTTTCGTGGTCCCACAGCACTAGCTGTAGAGCTCTGTTGGAATTTCAATGTTGTCTCACGGGTGTTCTCGATCAAACCGAATTGGGCAAAGTAATGCTGTCACCTAATAGGACCCTCAACGTTTCGGCCAGCAACATACATTCTCTTCACTTAATCATGATCAAATTTGTTGAACTGATTCAGATTCTCACTCAAAGCAGGGGCTTAAGTAATAATGCTATTTATATTTAACTTTTCATTTAAGCTCACCATGCATTATAAAGTCCTAAAGAAGCTAGAATCAGGGTAATATTCATAAACTAGCAGGACTAGTTTCAAAGATTTAAATATAGAACTTCCTTCTTCTACTGCATGAGTGAAATGACGAAAGAAAAAAAAAATAAGGCAATAACAATGAGAGTAAGGCGGCAGTAAAACTACTTGTTTTCATCGATTGATAAAAAACAAAAGCAACCAAGAAAATATTTCTTTAAAAGCTAAAATTAAAGATGGATTGGACTTGGGATTAACAGGAGATTAAAAATTTTGTGAATGTGAAACTGCTGTTGAAAATCTATTTCGCCAACGAAAGATGTCGTTTGAAAAATTCAAGTTTCAAAAAAATGGAAAATGTAATTTTTTTGCCCAACAGTGTTAGGCAGTAGAGAAGTTATGTGTTTCCTTTCTCTAATATATGTAGCATAATCCTTAGCTCGAAATTTTGAGGCTTTCTTATTTTCACCAAAGTAAACTATATTACAAGACTTCTTCGTCAGGATAAGAAGATCATATCCGGAATAGAGTCATCAGAATTTACTATCCGGAGCGGGATTTTAAGGATGAAACTGTGAATTTTGTTGATAGAAGAAAAAACTGTTCTAAAATTGAATTTCTGAAAAATGTGCGCAATGTTACAGCTAAGCGATGAAAAGAAAGGAATGACAACAAAATTTTTAGTCCAAAATCGAGAGAATGCTTTTCGATGTGTTAAAAAGAGAAATTTTAACCTTTACGTCAATAATGTTCGGTGTAAAGACTTTGGCAAAAACAAATGCTCTTAACTAGTTTAATCTTTGATCAACTATGTAAAAAGAAATTGCATTTCCATTATGACACTCTCCACGATATCTACAAATGTCAAAATAAGAACCGTAGAATCTATTTTCCCAAACATATCGATAATTTTATTTGAGGAAGTAATCAGTTTTCTTCTTGTCTGGAGAATTTCAAATAAATTACTCTTGTTTTCCGAAATACAATAAGCAAAGTAAACTAATCTCAAAACTAATTAAACTATTCGGATATTCCATTATTTTAAATGATAAAATGAACGAGACTTTAAGCGCCCTTTATGTCTTAGCTCTTAGGAAAGAATAGTTAACATCTGTGTGAAAAATCTTCAGTGAAAGTTTGAATGTGGCCATTGTTTTCTAGACGTCTCCCAGGTTTAATTATATGTAATTTATTCCACTTAGCTTTCCAACTAAGAGACATAATAAATCCTTTACCAAGAAAGTAAGATAATGAGTTTAGAGCGTGACAATTTGGCACACGACACGGACAATTCACTTGACGGCAGAAACTGGTTTGAAATCCCCGTTAAGCCTACTTAAGTATGTGTTATAATTAAAACCGTGATCAAATTCTTTCGAACATTAACCATTCATTTCCTTTCTAACATTGGAAAGTGATTAGGTACATTGGAAAATGCAGCTAGAAAATATTTTGCGTGTTGCTATTAAATTCTATAATTAAGATCTGAAACTTGCTAATTTGAGCAGAGAACTTCTGTAAAATGAGGACGTTCGGGCTGAGTTTCTGTTTGTGAGAAGAAATTAGAGTATTATGAAAAAGGCAATTTTTAAAATTGTTGTTGAAAAATATTTTACGCAGATGGTGCTACAGTCAACTCTTGATTAAAACAGTAAAACCGGGGATGAATATGGTATTACTGTCTTAATCAAGAGTTGACTATACCTCCATCGGTTAATCCAATGCCATAGTTAATCCGAAGGCAGTTAAAAAACCTTAGTAAAAAGGGGTAACCCATTATTATCATTAACAGAAAAGTATCATTAAACACTTACCTATGTTTTCATAATCACTTAGTTATGTAAATCAAATCAACATATATAAATACAGGACAAAAGAAAAGCAACAACAGCAAAGAGAAAAGCAGCAAAATTTAAAAAAAAAAAAAATCTGAAAGCTTTCAGGTTTTTCTTTTACATTACGCGCTTTGCGTGTAAAATAAAAAAAAGAGATTTTATATTAAAAAAAAAAAGGATATTTTGTAAAAAGGGAATTTTATGTGCGTATTTTATTTTATGTAAACACGTACGTTTTTAAAAATTTTTGTGTGCTACCTTTATTTATGAAATATCATGCCCTTCGCACTTAAACCACAAAAAATTCAATTCAACAGCAATATCACAAAGTATTTAAAAAAAGCTTATTCTTTAGAATTTCCGACAGTTTCCCGCGCCGGTGATATTTTTTTTTTTTTCCTCGTACAGTATGGCTACTGCTCGCTTTAAAATCATTGAGTTTGATAATCAAAAATTCGTTAAAGTTATACAAAATGGAAAATAGATAATAAAGCAAATTTGGAATTCAAAAAATTTGGACTCCAAAGTGCCCATGTTAGGGGGAAAGACTACGTTATTAAAAATTTGATGGTTCCAGGTACCGTCGTTTTTTCACAATGCGAGAAACATACATACATGCATGGAGGTCTTCATTATTTGCAATAATATTTGGTGGCAACAATTTAAAAAGTGTTTCGCCGTTTATAGTGGAAAGCTCCAAAATGCCATTTTGAGACTAATAGCCCTTCTGGGCTACTCTGGGCTACCGCCCGTTTGGACCAAAAAGTCTCTTATTTATTTTGCTTTTGTATTTCGATAGAATCAATAAAAATATTTAGTTGTACACTTGATTAGTTTTTACGGTTCAGCAGTTTATTTTAACAGTTGATTTTATGGTGTTTGTGCATTTTGGATTGCGTGCAGCTAAAACGCACATTTTCGTGCATAAAGAAGAACTTCCTAAATACTTTGATATCATCTGTTATTGCTGTTTGCTATGCCACCAATTTTTTATTCTTGTACTTCGCGTTAACTGTATTTATTTATGCTGTTTTTTGATAGCAATAAATTGTGTCATAAAATAAGATTAACATTTCTTAAGATCGAGCCTGGTTATTTTGAGACCGGTTTAATTCATGCTCGGTTAAGAGACGTGCGATTATTTCTTAGTATGCATGTTACCACTAAAGTGTGAAGTTCTTTAATGTGAACATTACCTAGC